GTAAGTCACCGTGCTGTGGCAGCCATTACGCGTGGTGCGGCAACCTCGACCCACTCGACTCTAAGCATGCAACAGCATGCGCATGTGCTCCTGGGCACCAAGCAACTCTGTCTATGAAGGACAGGGTGCAGGAAGAACACTTTGCTGTCGATTTGCGGCAAATCCGCAGTGGGGGCCTCCTGGTTTCCGAAGGCTGGCTGGGAGCCATGCTAATGTCGAGTTTAGCTGTTCCTCTTCCTTGGCTTTTCGAGCCTAGAATCTACCAGCCTACACTACGGACTTCAGAGCTGACCGGCCTAGCCTGACATAGCCGCACAAAGAGTCCCAACCTGGTGTGCGGCGCACGCTTCTCCGAGCAATACCTGAAGTTCACGTCTATATAGCCCAAACAACGCTTCGTCCTGCTCCACGACGTGGAACAAACCACGGGTTCTCTCGAAGCTGGAGCAAATCACGGAATCAAGGAGCTGTCCCGCAGAGGCCAGATAAAGCTCCTGGAGAAGCTATCTTCAGAGATCCCATTCACCGGCCCGCCATTGACCCGGGAAAACTTCTTGCTTAAGAGTCTTGTGGAATAATGTCAACTGGATGCAGTGTGTCTCATGGAGCAAAAAATGGACGGGGCCCTGTCGGTGGCCCCCAACTTGACAGGGAAGAGGGCTTGCGAACATGAAGGCCGTCAACAATCATGTCCTCCTCACCACACTCTGGCTTTCGTAGGGTTGGAGAATCTTTTTTCGCTTCCGAGGGGCCACTATTGGACGACAACAAAGCTTCTGCAAACTCCAGGAGCCCAAAGTCCTGCACCCAAATGCCGTCTTGCAGCAGTTCCTCCTTGCCGTGGTTCGACCCGCACACCTGGCCGCTAGAAGACCACTTCACGATCCACACCCGTTGTGACTCCAGAAGCCTGAAGTGACTCTGAAGTGACTCTGAAGTGTGACGAGCACTGAAACATCTAGAGCAGGGCGGCACCGGCAATCCTGTCCAACCCTGAAGAATCTCTGAGGTCTCGTCGGCCAAGGTGCCGATCTCTCCTGTGCGTGCTCCTTGAGGTAGGTCATTGTGGGCCAAGGTGCGCTCTGCAGCACGTTGTGGAAGAGCGTGTAGGCTGAGAGGAAACGGGCAGCCGAGGCGGAGTCGTGCTGTTCCGAGTAGCAGTGTTCAAAGTCTTCAACTCTGGGCCCTAAACTTCCAAGTATCGGAATCACCTTCGGCCCCCTCTGATGGCGCAGCCTGGCACCACGGAAAGCAGTTCCCGGTCAAACGGAAAGGCGCTGATGACCTCATGCCATCGGGCTTAGCGACAGGGCATACGATGGGCTTACTAGGGCTGAGGGATGCTGCGGTCGGAAGGTCAGAAGGGTTCATTTTCGTTGGGAGGGTGGGGTTGATGATGTGCTTGGACCGTCATAGAAGTCTGGCCTCCCGTGGGAGGGTTGAAGAACGATGCCAACATCATATTCACTGAAGCACCGCAGAGCGAGTGCCTGGAATATTAGCAAGGCTAAGATGCTGTTTTCTTGTTTTCTTGTTCGCATGGGACCATACTTATATCAGCGGCCACCTCAAGGATCCTCAAGCATCTGACTAATAGAGGAGAACAAGGAAAACCTTTGAAGGTGCTCGCTTCGGGGCTTCGTGGAGTGTTTTAGTGTTGGCGCCGAATGGGGAACCCGAATCGTGAGCCCATACTGCGAAAATTCAGCGCTCGAGGTAGTTGCTCTGGATCGCCAGTGTGAGAGTGCTCAGAACTTGTGAGACCGGTGCATGTGCCACATCTGGCATTCGGCTTGTCACATGGCAAGCGTGGGAACTTCTATCGACCTGTCGGGTAAGGCCACGACCCAGTGGAATGCAGCCTGCATGGTAATCATCGCATTGATGAAGCCTCGCGTTCTCTCGTGTGCCAGCTGCGCTTGATCGAGATTGAAAGCTTAGGTACCGAAAAGGATGCTTGCCATGAAGCTGGTATAGATGGAAAGGTCGGCACAAAGCAGCACCTCAGCGTTGCCGCGATCCGGTCTGCGGTCTGCAGTGCTCGTGTCATGCCTTCGGAATCAACCTTAAACATCAAAGCTCACCGCAAGAGAAGATCAAACTGAGTCAAGCGGAGGTTAGCATGCATTCAGATGCATTCAAATGCACTCAGGCACTAGGCAATGACCGTCCCACAACCTCATCAAGGGCACGACTTGAGGGGACGGATGCATGTGCTGCAGCCTTGCGAGCATGTCCGCCACGGCATTGTCGACCTTGTCAAATACAGGAGCACCTTTATATCAGATGGTTTCGGGGAAAGGGCATTGTGGCTGCACAACAGCGAAGTGCAAATCACAGGTTCTGCCGTGTCTTGATGCGACATGGAGCTCCCAGCTACTTGGTTTTTCGAATGTATTGGGAGTAAATGACCGGGTGCTCAAACCAAACCTCCTCTTTTTCTGTTCGCGCTCGCAGAAATATGGTCCTTTCCGCAACCTAGGCACCGACCTACAAGTAGGAAGTGCTTTGGAAATGGGAAACGTACGTGCGGCGGGTCCACTCCTGCCCTCACGTTTTCGGGACTTCGCCGGGAAGCGCTAACGTAACGACACCTCGAACCCAAGATGACGTTTTGGGTCAACGTTTGACCCAAAATGTGCACATTGTGCACCCAGGCCTGCCAAAGTCGACACACAGATACATGTCTCGAAAGCACTCACAAGATCAGACGCGCTTCGACATTTTCTGTTCGTGCTCGCAGAGGTATCGGCCTTTGAGAACCTAGGCACAGGCCTAGAAGCCTTTGAGAAGCGTACGATGGGTTCGCCACCGGCAAGTCCGCTCCTGCCCTCACGTCCCGGGACATCCCCGGGTGTCAACGAAGCAAGCAGGCAGGTTCCAGAAAATTTCGAGAACGCATGAAGCAAACGAGCGCGTGAGCAACTGAACAACCTTTTGTTTTTGAAAACAACCCGCCTGAAGAAGAAGGACTGCGGGGGAAAGACCTATGTGTATGAGGTTGGCAAGGCGCTCGAAGTCAAGTGAATCAGGGCGGCCACGGATCAAGGTCATCAGAGCTGCTACATTGTCTATAAACCACACCCCCGACGTTCCCGGAACTTCTCTGGACGAACCGGCAGGGTGAACAACACCGTGACAGAAGCGCAAAGGAACCCGCCCATGTCCACTGCTTCCACCGAACGACAGACTTCACCAGCACACTCAGCATGGGCGGCAGATACGCAGCGCAACACACGCCACATCAACATGAGGAAAACCAAGTGGGTAATCCTTTGCCCACATCAAAGAGTCAGGTGGCTCCTGACGCCGAACAATCAAAAGCAAGAGGCTGACACAAGATGCCGTTTTGGGCCAACTCCCGCAGCATGACCCGTAAATGGAAGTGTCCAACAAACCATGAAGCCTGTCGTTCAAGCTCTTTTCTGGCAAACCTTAGACATCCACTTCCACCCCAAAAAGCTTGAACAAAACTACTGCAGCCCTGCAGGGCCCCGGCGCTGAGCGTGAGTGGGCCTGCGGCCAACGTGCGGAAGCCGTGGCTCAAGGCGTCATCGAGGTAGAAGCGGCAGAGGTCCGTGAAGAGCCCTGAGGCCACAAACGGGGTTTGTGGACGACAAGATCCAATGAGTTGGATTAGTTGATTTTGGTAGACAAAAGTACCGCCAGAGAAAGACACAAATGAACACAACCTGACTCTCCTGAAGTTCATGCCATCTGTGGGTTTGGGTTTGGCAACACACATGTGTCTTTTTTCAAGTAGGAGTTCTGGAGAAAACAATGGGAAGAGACTCGGCTCCGAGTGTCAGCAAAAAGAGAGGCAGAGAGCGAGAGACAGAGAAACAGAGAGAGAGACAGAGGGAGAGCGAGAGAGCGAGAGAGTGAGAGAGAGAGAGAGAGCAAGCGAGAGCCAGACCGAGAGAGACTGGGAGCAGTTGACACAAAAAATCTCGAAACGCTCTACTCTCTCTCTCTCTCTCTGCCCCTCTCTCTTCTTCTTCTTCTTCTTCTTCTTCTTCTTCTTCTTCTTCTTCTTCTTCTTCTTCTTCTCTTCTTCTTCTTCTACCCAGCGAAGAGGCCCCCTCTCTCACTTTCGACACAATTTCAATCATTTTCAGGGTTGCGTGCGGCTGCAAGTCCAACAAATCCCACAGTCACTGACCCTCAGCTGGCCCCGGAGTTCCGAAGGAAGTATGCTTATTGCGATGTGCTCCCACAAGCTTTGGAAGAAAAAGGATTCGATCGTTCAATTTCTAAACCACAAGAGTCCAATCCCAGGCGGCTTAAACTACATGCAATAGGGATTGACCCGCCCACTGCAACATCATGGCATCGAAGCCTATTGACGGCATGCCGGAACACCATTCAATCATACCAACAAGCACTCTTATCATAGAGAGAGAGAGAGCGGCCTCGTGCATCGTTTTGCGCCACGCAGACGAAATGCTGAGCGTCATCATCGAAGATCCTGGGCAGGAGGTCCTGCATCCAGAGGCCTCGGCTTCGGCGCACAAGTTTGATGTAGTTGCTTTTTCTTCCTACTTCGAGCCGCCCCCTCCCCCTCCCAGCTAGAAGGCTCTCCGAAGCCCTCTCCGAGTGGCTCGGAGGGACGCTGAGGTCAAAGGTGGTGGAGAAGACATCCTGACCCAGGAACCTCAGGTCAAGCCAGAGGTAAATTAACGGCAAGGCAGTTAACTTTGCAGTCTGCCGTGGCAGCTATCACGGGCTGCCAGAAGCGCTTGAAGGTGGGACATGAAAATGGGCAAGAAGTCAAAGTCACCCTTTACTTTGGGGCTTCAACAGAGACTTGTGAGGTTCCTTGTCAATTTGGAACACGGTGCTGCACCACGGAGAGGTTCCTTGAGTCATGCGCTTGCGGCCTAGGGGCGTCGTCAGGTCTGCTTCCTGTTGGGTGCAGCATCTGCCGTGATCCGCCTTGCAAAGCTTTGAGAGGCCCTGCCAGCCTACAATCTGCAAAACGCACCAAATTCCCACGTTGCCTGGGGATCGCAGGTGGCGCCCCAGCAATAGGCAGCCGGGTTCGTAAAATAGCCTGAGCGGCAACTTGGATTCGCATCGAGCAAGGCTGTCAAGATACATCGGGTATGCATGGGCCGCTACACAAGGTCCGCCCAGGATGCCTGGTATTGGGAAGTTGGTTCTGCTGCAGCTTGGGTTGAGATTTGGAAGCACACCCTTCTCCCCCAAGCCGGTTCCCCAACCCGAGGGGTCTTCTCTGGGGCTCCAAAATCCCAATCCTGGCCTACAAGCATCTTGATGCGGCAGGCAGCTCGCATTGCAGACGAAGTTGGCACAAGTCTCGGCCAAACCTGCAGTCTACTGCAGTCTACCAATGAATGGCAAGTCCCACCGGATGGTAGCCGATGTCAGCCTTCTGAAAGTTGCTTCTGAAAGCAGTCTTTGCCAAGGGACAGATGGACCAGAGGATGTCATTCTCAGTCCCAGAAGGGTACTCGAAAACCAGCCTATGATCACATGATCTGCATGTGGACAGAAAATCGGAGCCTCTTGAGCTGCTTGAGCTACTGGTATCACCCGGGATCAGATTGCTTCGAACAAGTGCAGGTTTCCTCTTGACAGGTAACAAAAAAGGAAGACGTCACCTGCAGTCCCAGAATCAGGGAGGCAGGTTGCGAAAACTTATACAGCGAACCTACCGTGCTAAGCCACGCCATGTCGCCATGAAACACCTCGAAACCCCAACACACCCCATGCCGCACAATGCGCGCAGTCCTCCGACGCTACTGCCACTTTCTGCTGCTGCAGACGGCTTAGCAAATCAGCGGTGTGGGGTCTTAGAAGTCTGAGAGTCTGCGGAGCGGGCTTCAGGATTTGGAAATCAGACAATGAAAAAATATGAAAAATATCTTGTTTCTTCACTGACCAAACTGCAGCTCCGAAGCTCCATGCCATCAAGGAGTTGGTTCTCCCACATGCCTTCCGATATCGTTCTGCCCTGGCCGCTGGAGATTGGCAGTGGGAGGACACCCTGATCTCCTAAAGTGGCACAGAATCTCTGCACTCCAAAAGCACTCAGAATCATCTGCTACTAGTCCCTGAAACCTCAATCGCAAGACCTTTGAAGACGGATCAGAAACATGATGTTCACTCCCTCCAGACCTCCCGCCTCAATGGTGAAATTTCCATGAGTAAGGGTGCCATTCCCAGCAGCAAAGATGCGGGTCATTGTCGGAGACCTGAGGCGAAGGGGCGACTTCGGGCTTGAAAGGGCGTTGGGGCATCTCGAAACACCCGTCTAGCATTCGTCCCTGAGTCGGTGCCGATGGGCATATACTGTGCCTCGCGCGGTTGAAAAAAGCGCTCATCCCTTTCGTGCGGCGGCTGTGGACCAACAAGTACGAAAACATGCCAACATCCAAAGGCAAGACCCAAAACACCGAAAATAAAGCAGTCTAAAAGATCTTGACCTAAGAGCAAACAGAGAGAGGGAGAGGACTGTAAATATGCGAACACTTCTGGAGCTCGAAAGTGGACAGATCCCCTGAAGAAGTACTCAGGGCTCGACTCCTCGAAGTGGAGCGTCAATCGCACAGACGTCGCGCCTTGCAGCTCGGAGTAAAGCTGCTTGAGTGCTTGTTGGGTGCGTTAACTTGGGTCGGGAAAGCCTTGGGGCCCAAATGTGTTCATATATTATCTCGCGATCCACTATGCTCTGCCATCCCAGGAGAATCCAAGCCCAGAACATATCACGCCTGGACGTACACACACTGAACCCAATCTAGACCAAAAACGCTTCGTCACCATTCCATCATGTTCAGTTGAAGCTGCCCCAAACTCTCTGACAGCCCAGCTGCTGTTGGCGGTTGCCCAATGTCTTCCTACAAGGCACCCGTCCAGCCAGCCGCCATACCTGTAAGCGCACGGCCCCATCCAGTGACACGTGTCAGTACGCGTGGCATCCTAGCCCGAGCCGGGGCCAAGTGTTGGGGCTTCGGTCTTGAGGCTTCTGCGGTCGGGCAATTCGATCCTCGAGATCGTGGGGATCGTGGGATCGTTCTTGCGAGGATTGCGAGGGGCAGTTCCAGACTTGGATCGATGGGGAAGTTGATCTACAGGGAAACAGGAAAGCTGTGACATTGGAGACGCATGGCCCAACGCGGCCCAACGCGGCCATCGCATCCCAACCACTGCCTGGACCTCAAACTGCCACAAAACCAGCCTCCAAAGGCTCCAAAGACCCCCAATCAACACATTGCGCCGATTGGGCAGCACCGAGTGAAGGTTCCTAGTTTAGGGTTTAGGGTTTAGGGTTTAGGGTTTAGGGTTTGGGGTTTAGGGTTTAGGGTTTAGGGTTGAGGGTTTAAGGCTTTGAGTTTATCAGGGGTCTCATGTCTCAAGTCGATTTCCCAGGGGCGGCAATGCCCACCAGGGCTCCCAGGTGCCCTGCACGGACAGATTGGAGGCCGCCCGGGTGCAGTAGTCCTTGTGCGGGTGTCTTGTTTTGTAAGGACTCTGCACATGAGCTTCAGATTCATGGCTTCAGGTCTCATGGTTTCAGGGTTTCATGGTTTCACGTTTTCATGGCTGCATGGTTTCATGTTGGAACTGTTTCTGGCAAAGCCAAAGGATCTCCGACGAACAGGACACCAGGAAAGGCTCCACAGACAAAATTGGTCAACTGTACAGAGAAAACAGGCTTGCAGAGACTAGTGTTGATGCCAGCAGTGTGAGAGGTTCAGAAAGAACCGACATAAAGCGGCACCAGAGAAGCAAACCAACGCAAAAACATTAGCTGCTTTACCCACACCCAGCGGCGCAGGAGGAGATCAGTGACAGTCAAAGCAACCGTGCTGAGGGCACGCCGCCCGATGCGTTGCAATCATTCATGAGCACACTGCTGGCCACATAGATCGTACCCACGGGGGTGGCTGTTGCACAGGCACAGCACACATGGATCACACATTTGGCATGCTTGCAAACAGGCCACGGATGTCATCACACTTTGAGCCAAAATGTTCACGCCTAAGATGGTCCCAGGCCGGACACTTCCAGCATCGATGAATTTCACCCTCATCCTCCCAGCCACAAAAAAGGACAACAGGCAGCCACCCTGGCGCGAGTGGACCGATGCTCACGAGCCGCCGTCAGGGCAGCTCCTTGCATCAAGAAGCGCAGTGTAGGACGATGATCCACTGGCACGATTTTCCAAAGATTGGCAAGGGCTTCGCGGTCAAGACTCGGCAAATCCCTCATGTCAGGTCTTCGCCGAGCAGCTTTTTGGCAAGCTTTGTGACGCATGGCATCCCGCAGGGAGTGCAACATCTTCGGCCAATTCAAAGCCTCAGCCTTGTGGCTCCAAGAGAGGCCCTCCACAACTTGGGTCAGATCATCAGCAGCCGTCGCACGGCACAGCTCTTCGCAGGCTCCACCCCGTTGCTGCTCGAGCGTCAACCCCGACAAAACGTGACAGGCGCCATCATTGGCCTCGAATCTCATTCCAAGTAATCCATTGCCACCCATGCTCTTTCAGAGCTCGCTGGAACCAGGCAAAGAAAGAACCAGAAGGAGCAACATCAACAGAGCTGCGCAGGTCAAAGTGAATCTGAACTTCCTTTCGGAAAGCAGCGCTCACATTGATGAGGCGCCCAAGGACACGAACTTGTTCATGCAGGAGGGCCGCAGGAATGGCCGCGCGATGAACGGCGCATAGAACGGCAAGAGAAATTTCGACACACCGACGAATATTGCATTTTCCACCTGACAAAACGTTGACAAGGAAACGCTGCTTCTTAGCATCAGAAAAATCCAACGGATCCCAAGTCAGGGCCGCGTAAAGTGCTCCCAGAACACCCGAGCTGCCAAGTCGTTCCAATCTAGGCCGTGATAGCCGACTTCACGCAAATCAAGGAAAAGATCTGCACAAACGCGAAACAAAGCCTCCAGCTTCTGCAACTTACCATCCGCTTGTGTGCAGAAGCAGCCAACGAGGTCGGAGCAGCTGATGGCAGCACATTGGAAGCAGGGGTGCGCCACGGCACCAACATCCGCCGTCGCTTAGGCTCAGATGCCGCGGCAGCCACCAGGGAGAAAGGCTCAGCCTGACTCCTATGGATTGAACATGATTGAACCGATCTGAACTCAAGCTCGCGACAGCAAGGGCGGACTCCTGGTGAGCATATTTACGAGCCAGCCGCCCAAAGCCGGCCCAGATTGAACAGATCCGGCTCAATGGGCTCACCCGAGACGAAATGCACATAGCTCGCGCCACTCCAGCCATAGTGCAAATCACTGCAGTGCTCGACACCCTCTGAAAGAAGCCAGCGCCCCACGCTCTCATCTTGCTCGCTCAGGAGCAGAGACAGCTCAGCATCGAACATGGAGTCAAAGAAAACTAGGTTGGTCCTTGCAGAGGGTGCTCGAGAAGCACTGCTTGCGGATCGGCGTGTGTGCCCTTTCATGCTCCTTTAAGACCCCAGGCCAACCGACCATACTTAGAAGGTTGCACAATAGCTGCTGATGGCATTATGTACTGTAAAGCAACCTTGCCAGGCATTTACAAGGGCGAGCCGCGGGGGGCACTGGCAGGCCGGGCGCAGATGGCTTTGAGGCAATCTTCTTGATGGCATGACGCATCTTCATTGGCACACACAATGCTTGTATGACGGGCTTGGAGAAGATTGAGATGTTTCGGAAAGGATGCCGATGCGCTTTCGAAGAACTTCCTCTTCATGATGTGGACCGGAAGACGGGCAGACCAGAGGACCGGGACCTACACACCAGGGGGTCCGCAGGACACCGGAAATCGTTTTTATCCTGAAAATTTGTTGGTCCTAAAAATTGCTTTTGATCCAGAACATGTTTATTGATCCGCACTCCTCCCGAAACAGCATACGCCCGTAAACCGGGCCTTTGAGAACCTGTTTCCGAAGTCAATTGCCTGTCAGGGCACGAGGTCGGCCGTGGGATCACAAGGGCCGTCGCAGGATAGGAACTTCCTTGCAGGGAAGCCAGAAATCTTCGGCTTAGCCAGGCAACACCTCTTGTGTTTTGTGGGGGATTTGTGGCATCTCGTCGCAAAGGACGTTTTGGTTCTACGCCAAAGGTCGCCAATGGCCGGAGCGCGCGCCCAGCCGGCGGTGTTAGCAGTGCACAAGTGTCCACGTCGCCTGGGTTGCTTGACGTTGCTTGTACATTCGCTCCAGTACATTAGAAAGGAAGAATCATCACATTCAAGACCTACTGCGCAAGGCTCGAGACTAATCAAGAAATCTGCTGCTGACCTTACTCTTGAAGGCTACAATGCGGGGTCATGACTGTCTTGCTTAGAGCCACGCTAAGTAATTCTGCTCCAGATCTGTCTGGGTCGCTGAAGGGCGAACTTTGCAACACCTGGCAAAGCTCGCCACACTCGGGCGGCACCTCAGCACAGCGAGCCCAGTGTGTCCAGCAAACCAAAAACTCTACGCACACATCTGCAACCATCATGTAGCAAGACCCGTCGAGGCCGTCGAGGCTACAGCTGAAGCTTTGAAGAGTGACGACTCAGGGTGCACAACATGGATCTTTACATCCAGGTCACAACTTCAGGCAAACCGCCGGCACGGCGGAGATTTCGCAGCTCCCGCACCTTGCCGCACTGTGTGCCAAAGCAGCGAACACCGAAGTCACAGAAACTGGCATTGAGAAACACTTGACTCACTGGACTTCTTGGACGTCTGTAGGCACCAAAGGAAAGGTTGGACTTGTTTTTTGAAAGCAGCTTTGGCTTTTGGGACTGGGTGCTGACGGCAGAAGTGGCTCTTTGAGATACTTCTGTTGTTGGGACGTGAAGCTGCTCAATCTAGGCGATACTTTTGTGCTGGCCGCTTTGGACATGCTGCCCACGAAGAGTGCGCTCTGTGCGCGCCTACAAGAAGCCCCTTACAAAAGTCCAACAAACTTCTATAGACTTCTTGGAGCAAACGCGACCAAACCCGCGCCTCAGCCAGAGCCTGAGCCGTGGTCATGTCTGTTGTGGACAGCACCTGCACTGCAAACTTCATAAACTTCTGAGCCCGCTTTGAACTCGACAAGTGCTAGGGCTTGTGAAGAATCTACCCTAGTCTACCCTTTCCGAGGGGCCGTGCGGCCCAGCGCAGGCATGGTGGACCAGAGCAGCAGAGGCTCCTGAAACTCTTGGGCAACCTTAGCACGAGATTTAGCCAAAGGCAAAGAGGGGCGCGCCCGAAGCATCTGCCATGAGTCATATGAGACAACATGAGACAACCAATCTTTACATCGGACTCTGAGGGCAGTTGAAAACGGCAAGTTCACCAGCCAAAGAGGGAGGGAAGGGGGGGGGGGGGGGGGGGGAAAGGCAGGGACTGAAGGACACGGCCGAGCTGCTTGGGCGGCTGTGCTGCGAAAGTCGTAAGTGGCCTAAGCCGCTAACTTGCTGAGAACATAACAGGATCCCAAGTACTTCCTATGCCAGGCGTTCAAAAGTGCTCTCGTCGCTTTGTGCATCTGGTAGGAATCTTGATTGCAGTCCCTTGGCATCTATGCATTTGCGGGGAGCGCTTCGCCCCGGGGGTGTGCTGAGCCGCTAGCCACTACTTTGTGCCTCATTGGTGCCCGTGCCCGTGCCTCCGGTAAAGGGCATACGACGTTGCTCTGGAGTTACGGTCTCATCCAAAGGCTTGTGGGATCATCCCATGGACTTTGTATGGGTCGAGGATGCACAGGGGCGCCATATCCAGAGCAAGCATCGGAGGTCCATGAGGGGCCTAGATGGGGTCCATGAAGGTCCGTAGGTGTAGGGAGCCAGAGATGGGGACATGTGGCCAGCATAAACTGAATAATGGCAAGTTCTTTCGACCTCGGTGCGATCATGGCTGCAACCTGCGAGTCTTCGGGTCAAGGGCAGCATTGGACACATGGCGGCCAACTTCTTCATGCCGGCTGCCATCTGTGCTTCACCACCCGCCTCTACTTGGAAGATTAGATGACTCCTCGGCGTCGTTTGCAAGAGCCGGCGTCTGGTTACGATGCCGCCTTCGCAGCCCTTGCCCCCCTGCCCCCTTGCCTTGCCGTCTTGACGTGGCCCGTCCAAGCCGAAGTTTGCAACACTTTTTCGCCTGTCCTGCCCTTGGCCCTTGGCTTTCCCGTGTCCAACCACTGCTCAGGCTCGCCAGGAGGTGGAAACGTGCCTCTGACCTGAAGCCAAGTGGCGGGGCCCAGGAGTATGTCCACCTTGTGTGCCGCACCGGCCTCCAGGGTTTCTTCGGGGTTTCATTTCGTTTTGAAGAATTGTTGGGAATTGGGATTTGGGCCATGTCGGGCGTCCATGCGTCGAAGGCTTAAACTTTGAATCTGGGTACAGAAGGCCTCGTGGAGCCTCCCCGGGCCTCCCCAACAAAGGAGCGGTAGAGCTGCGCCGCGCGCTGCGGCGAGCTCTCGTCATCCAGGACACAGAAGGAGATGCCTCGGTCTTGCAGATTGCGGGGCGCTCCTAAGGAGCATCTCAGTTTGCTGAGTTTGATAATGGCTTATGCGGTCTCTATGAACGTAAGCTATGATCACCAGGATTCTGAACAAGCATCAATAGGAGCTCAGGCCCACACATTCAATGGGCCCTTATGAGGGAACGACGAAGGATAGACTGTGCAGTTGAGACAAGAAGCAGTAATCTTGATGCACGTAGCTCTGGTCCACCAGCATCTGCAGAAGTGTTGCGGCAGCCTCGGGATCAGACCGCGGACCTGACCTCAGTTCAAGTTGGCATTCGTCAGTTGGGGACGGAGCCGTTCCAGTGCAAGGCCTGTTTTGACTACGTCGATCACTTCCATACACGTCAGTAGGCCTCTGCTTTGCAGTTCCTGATGCGCAGTTTCGGATTCGCGCGGGTTGCCGATGCGCAGTTTCTGATTCGCAGCTTCCGAATCGCGCTAGTTTCTGTTGGGCAGTTGCTGGTTCGCTGTTCTCGTTCACGCGGGTTTCTGATGCGCAGTATCTGTTTCGCGCGGGTTTCTGATGCGCAGTTTCTGATGTGCAGTTTCTGATTCGCCCTGGCTTCTGATTCGCTGTTTCTGAATTGAGCCAGTTTCTGATTCGCAGCTGCTGAACCTCGGCTAGTTTCTGATTCGCAATTTCTGAACTTCTCTGGGGGAAGCGATGAGCAACTAGCTCCGTCCTATTTCGCAGCACGAGTACTTCTAGAAGTTTTTGGTCTGCCCCTGCTTGGCCGACCCTAAACATTCCTAAACCTCAAAAGCGACACTGTTGCCCTTCTCGCCCTCACCCTTCAGCCACTGAATTCTCACCCTACATGATATGGACCCTAGTCTCTCAACCGCCTAACCCTGAACTACCTAAGCCTCAAGCTTCATGAGCTCCCAAGTCCAAGACAAGCACCCCACCCCACCCCAACGAAAAAGACAAACAAAGAGATAAACTTTTAAAGTGTGTATGAGGAATGTTCAACTTTTTACTCTCAATGTTTGGACCTCTCCCCCCCACCCAGCCCCCACCAGGCACCCTCGCTCCCCCCCCCAAGGCAGCCCTTCCACCCAACCGCCCCCCCCCCCCCCCAACGTCTTGATGCGACAGGGTGAAAGGTTCCAAGTCTAAGCTGAGCTGCAAGGACATCGTCAGGCCCACCCGCACCTGGGCTTGTCAAGACGATCAGTTCGCCCGTATCTGCCATGTGATTCCAATATTGTTTCCAAAGGTTGAAGTGCGCCGTGAACAGACTGACAAGCAGGGCAGTAGCCGGCCTCCAATGGGATCTGACAGTGTGGGGGCTTCGTCACCGAGTAGTTGCTCCTCAGCTCCATCCCTAACAGCAGTCTCATGCTAGCAGAGAGGGAAGGGGGAGCGGGAGTGGGGAAGGAAGTGCAGCGGTAGGCGCGTCCGAAAGCCAGAGACCATGTCACAATCCTGTCATGCCCAACTCCGTGCGCCCTGCAGGCGCAACTCCGCTCATGTTTGTCGTCTACTGTCTCCTTTCTACATGACAACAGGGTTCCGGTAGCAGGCAAGTCTCATAGAAAACATGTCTTTGTTGTTGCTTGGTTGCTGTCTCGCTACTCGGTCAGTTGCATGAGCGCCAGTTAGGTCAAATCTTGAACGAAGCGGTCTCTCCGGTCAAAGTCAAGTGGCCAGTAGGAGTTCCAGTAGTTCTGAGGCCAAACCCTCTCTGGGCACAGTCCCGAGCTGTTTTGCAAAAGGACCTCAAGTGCAGGCAAACATTTGCGCACGAGTTCAAAGGTTCGAATTCTGACTCGCAACATTCTGGATGCCAGTGGGATTAGCAGCGTTTGCAGGTGCATCTGGCAGCAGGGGCACCGAAGTCCGAAAAGGGGGCGGTGCCGAGAAAATGCAGCTACCTACCTACCTACCTACCTACCTACCTACGCTGTGCGCCGTCGTGCCGTGGCGCCGTTGCGCCATTCCTGGATACAAGCCCTAATAAGACCGCAAACGCCAAGCCCCAAAACCCCAAACCGTAACCCCAAGACCCTAAGTCTCGACCCTAAACCGCCGCGGGGTACGGGGTACGGCGCGGAACGCGGGAGAAGGCTCCCGCTCATGCGGTTGTGATGTTGAGGTGGCTGGATAAGCCCCTTCTTTGTAAAGCACAATCCTCATGTGGGGTTCCATGTGGCCTCGGTGCCTTCAGTCTTCGCCATGCTCAACGTGTGCGACATCTAGTTGGCCCGATCGTCAAACAAGTCTGAAAATGCCGTACATGTTCAACGGGTGCTGAAGTAGAGCACATGTATTCCTGCCTGCATCAGCCGAAACTGTGCCTTCCCCTTGCAAATGTACACGCCATGTGCGTATGCTGCGTCGACTACCTTGTTTTATTTCATGCATGGTGGTGCTGCAAGGCACTGAAACGCAGACGATGTCTGTTCCTGTTACGTTGTTACATTCCTGTTGTTGAATGAACATCTTGCTGGGAGGGCGCTCCCGTTCATGCTCCGGGGTTGGCAACTGCCCTTCGAGGCATCACGCTTCACGTTGCTCGCGAAAGATGATAAGGCCGGTGCTGGGGCAGACAAGTTGTCGGATGGCTGGGCGGTTGGAATACTCGAGGGCATGGATACGGGGAAAACAGCAAAGCTGGCAGCATGGTACAGCGAAGACCATGCTTAAATTAAGCTTATGGTGCAGTAGGAGTCTACCTACTTTTTGGGGGCCTACTACGCTACTACGATGGCGGCCCTCCGAACAAACCAAAGCCTCAGCTAGGGAAACAGTGGTTTGGTGGGAGTGCGATTTGTAGCTCAGAATGCACACTGGCTTCTGCGATGAAAGCGACGAGGTCCACATCACACGGGCGAATCCGAGCGTGCAAAGCATGTGCTGCGCTGAGGGATGCTTCGGCACATGCACCAGAAACATCTTGAGACGATAAAACCAAACCCAAGGACTGAAGGTACACGCTGTTTGGAAAACATCCTGAAACCATCTTCGCCCCCTTTTTGGCCCCTCTGTTCCGCCTGCGGATCCAGCACGGGCTCGCACGCAGGTCGGGACGGCTGGAAGCATGGTTCATTCGCAATAGGCGGCTGAGACAGCACTGGCAGTGGCAGCCAGAGAAGAAGCCGCCATGCCATGAGGGGCTACGTCTACTAAGTCTTTCTAAATTATGAGTGTCGTTCGGCATCCGGGGCTCAGGCCCATGGGTGGCTCTTCAGGATTTCCGGTTGCCTTCTGCAGTTTTCTTGTGAAGTGAATATCAGTGCGAGGTCAGTTTGGCCTGACACCGTTGACATGCTGCTGATACGCCGCTGATCGTGCCTACTCGGAACCTCGACTGTCAATGCACAGATACTGGCGTTTCCACACACACACACACACACAACTTCCTCCTTAAACCATTCCAAACCCCGAAACTCGATCAGCAAACTCGGCCGGAGCCCTCCCGCAAGTCCAACGGTAGAAAGATGGCATGGGTAGATGCGGGGAGAAGGGGAAGGGGCACAAGTACCATTGGGTCTCCTTTTCCTTGCACACGTTCTTGTTCGGCCCTTTGCCGGAGTCACCGTGAAGTCGCGTGTCTGCTGCTCACTTCGGAGCTCAGACAGCCTAAAAGGTTACTGCAAACCCAGGTTTGAAGGAGATGCCTTCGCCCATGCAGGAATCAGGTGCCGTCACGGGCTGGCAACAGCAGCCTGCTGCCTGCATGAGAGCTTTCTGCGGCGTCGCGAGCAGAACCAAGCAAAGATCAGAGAAGCGGGGCATGGAGTCATGAGTGGACAATGGTGCCATGCAGTCGCCAGAACTATCCAGAGCTCTTATGCTAACCCACCATGAACTGTCCTTTGCACTTGGGCCCACGCACGGTGCGGTGGAGCTGGGCAGTCGAGCGCCCAATGCCACCCTGAATCTTTGCGCTAGGGTTCGATGATTTCGTTCGAACAGTTCAACGTGTTCCCTGCACAGCAGGAGAGAGACTCCACTGGAACCAAGAAGTTCTGGCAGAGACTGTTATGAGCACTGAAGGTTTCAGATTGCACCTTATCCATGCATAACAATGGCAAGGTTGAACAGCCGGGTGCCAAAGACGCCTGTGCTTGCCTACCCTATTTCGACGATTTCAACACAATAGCGAATGTCACCTGAAACTCACAACGTGACACAGCCCTGCCTGCTGCTGCAAGCGCAGCAACTCCATTTTTGGTGGCGGCCGGCCTCGACTAAGAAATTGACAGCAGCCAGTGATCAGCCAACACTACGCCGCCCTGAAATGAGAGCCCCGCCAGTGAATCCAAACTAGAGCCATTGCCAAGCTGAGCTTCTTGCTGGATTCAACGATTAGGCTAGGTTACACTTACACTTTCACCGAACGCGTTCTGTGCTATTCAATCACGACGACCAGGGACGCGCGCAAACCAACGACGTTGACCAAATAAACGTAGTTAACCAACTTCATCCAGCTTCTCAATCCTCAACGGCCACCACAGTCGGAGTTGAGAGCCGTTTCAAAGCATCCAGACAACTGAAGCACTCGTGAGCAAAGACAAGACAACTGTTTCTGAGACCCTGAGAGCGGGGCACATCAAGGTTTGCCGCGCCTGGAGCAGGCACCCTCCTACTCTGCCCACCTTCAAGGTCCTCAACGCGAATTCTCAACCCAATATCCTGCAGGGTGTGAGGGGTGTCGGTGGGATTGCGGGTGTGAACACATGTAACAGGGTGGCTTTGCCTGTGTGCTTTGGGTCGTGTATGTGCGCATGGCCATGCGCATGTGGGTGACTCCTACTCCTCCTACTCCTACTCCTACTCCTACTCCTACTCCTACTCCTACTCCTACTCCTACTCCTACTCCTACTCCTACTCCTACTCCTACTCCTACTCCTACTCCTACTCCTACTCCTACTCCTACTCCTACTCCTACTCCTACTCCTACTCCTACTCCTACTCCTACTCCTACTCCTACTCCTACTCCTACTCCTACAAACAACTACAACAACTACAACAACTACAACAACTACAACTACTAGAACTACTAGAATTACTAGAACTACTA